ATGGATGGATGGATGGATGGATGGATGGATGGATGGATGGATGGATGGATGGATGGATGGATGGATGGATGGATGGATGGATGGATGGATGGATGGATGGATGGATGGATGGATGGATGGATGGATGGATGGATGGATGGATGGATGGATGGATGGATGGATGGATGGATGGATGGATGGATGGATGGATGGATGGATGGATGGATGGATGGAGGAAGCACGGGGGAGAACATGCAAAGTCCTTGAGCAAGTCCCAAGCTAAGGTTTGGGCACTGAACCTCAGAACCATTAGGTGAATGTGCTTACCGCCAGTCCTGCCCTGGAGATTTTATATGGCATTTATATTGGACTAAATATACTGCATTTATATTGTCACGTCAGTGGACTGACTTGTGGAACCTATTTGTTCAAGCCCCCCAGTGTTTTAATGGCTGACCTCATGTTTTAAAGAGTCAAGGTTAGTGGGCGGCACAGCAAGCTCCCACGTGGATATCAACGCATGGTGAGTGGAGATAGTCTGCAGACAACAGAATGAGCCTGCACATGAACAAACATAATGCAAAATCAATCTAAGTCTGAGTCAACATGATAAACACTTGGTGCCAAAAATAGTTTCAGTAACTGTCTGTGTGAGGTATGACACCGATAAGACTTCTGAGGAATCTTATCTGTGCTAACAATTGATCTAAAGTGACGTGGCAATAATTTGTGTGTGTGTGTGTGTGTGTGTGTGTGTGTGTGCATGTGCGCGCGCTTAGTTGCGTTGGTTGTGTCCTCCCCCTACATGACGGCGCAAGACGTCTTGCCAGGCTGAGCGCCACCGTCCATCTTCTCCGCCTCCAGGATCATCCTGCGGAAAACCTCCACGGCGGTCTGCACAAACAAGTGGCACACAGCTGCTGTTCATGATGTGGTTTTGGAGCCCTCTCTGTGCCTGATTCACAACGATCCCAAATAGTGGGCACTGAAATTGAATTAATCGAATTTTCTCTGTCCGTGGGGTGTTATACGGTCACACGATTCGCTTGTATCTTTGATTGTCAAAACTACCGGGATGCTTTTCCCATATCTATGATGATATAAGGCAACTCGGCTCTTATTTAACATAGCCTGTTGCGACCGCACCAGAGGCAGGAAATAGGAAATGTAACAATGCAAAACAACAACTTATTATTTTCTGACATAAATTTGATATATCAATTTGTAACATTAGACACGAAATATCATATTTAATGTGCATGAATATGTTTTGATAGCTGCAATCTTATATATATCCCCATATTTGGGAGTATTTATGTTTATTGTCCTCAAGCTTCGAAAACAACTGACACATTCTCCTGATATGTGCGAAATATTTTCACCCGGTACCTGGTTTTCTTTGGCCGAGGATTCCATGAAGGCAGCGTTCCAGGAGTCGGCTAATGCTTTCCCTTCTTCGCAGCTGATTACTCTGGAACAAAAAGATCAGGGCCACGACATTAGGTACACCTGCCTCCGTCAACCGCGCTGATAGCTTGACCACATACCGCTCCATGTGCAGGTCATTCTTGTTTCCAACAAGCATGATGGGAACTCTGTCAGCGCGGGAGAAGAAAAGTGGCCCGTTTTCATACCATTGTGGAATACGCTCGCTATCAAAACAAGTCGATGCCGCGGTGGTACTCACTGAACTTTCCCCACCATGTCCAGCAGTTTTTCGTGAATCACTTGGACCACTTCAAAGCTGCAAGAAACGTCTGTTTAATCAGTTATGTTGCCGCGTATGTTTTCCACGGCTTGCGGAAGTGAAGCACACCTTTTATTGGACGTGACGGAATAGACCAGGATATAGCCATTTATGTCTATGGAGTACGTCTGAGGGAAGATGGAGTACTCATCCTGTGGAGACAGAAATGGTACGATAAAAATTTACACTTTTCGTCCAACCCCCAATTTTTTATTATTTTGTCCAAATATTAGCATCATGCTAAACTCGTATCTTGATGACTGTGCGATATCGTACCACAAAGGAAAGCGGTACGGGTATCGATTAGCATATGCACGCAAGGAGTAACACAATCTACATGCAGCAAAAGTCTCGTATTTTCCACGCTGTAAGGCGCACCGAAATAGCATGAAATTTTCTCGAAAGCCGACAACGCGCCTTATAATCCGATACGCCTTATATATGGATCAATATTCTGATTTCTTGGCCGTAGTATTTCAAATGTTCTGTAAAGCGCTTTGTTACAGCTGCAATGGTTGTGAAAGCTCGATATAAATAAAGCTATAATTACAATGTACTCACTTTAGCGTAGCTCCATCTAGTGGATGCGTAACATAACTGCAGCCACTATTGTGGTTTATATTC